CTCGGCCATCGCCAATTGAGGCGGTTTCCGGTGGAATTTGTTGATGAAATTTTTTGAGCATCTTCTTCATTAAGTCTAATTTACCCATACCAAATCTCAGCTAAATATTCAACCGGGAAGACAGTCAAATGATTTTTTGAAGATAACTGTGCAGTTAAACAGCGCAGTAGATTTCGGAAAATCATTTGACTGCCTTACCGATTTAATTTTTATCTTATATTTGATATGGGTAAACTAGACTTAATGAAGAAGATGCTCAAAAAAATTATCAAAAAATTCCATCGGGAACCGCTCCAATTGGTGACGGCCGGACAGAACCTCTTAAATAAGGGGCTAATTGAACATTTTAAGTTAGTTCATGTACCTATTTGACCCTTTAGCCTTTTCTTATATTCACGGGCTATGATAAGAGAAGAACAATACTCCTTCCGTCTCGCTAATATTGTCTCATTTTTCCTTTTTGGGGATTCCATTAAGATTGTTCTATACCAAATTTGGTAAAGTTTGTGTGGCTCTAAATCATTTTACTTTAATCTTACATTATCAATTAAATATCAACCAAATAAATTTACTTTTCTTAATAATCGTGTCACCCCTTCATGTTCCAATGTTAGTGGGACGGATGTAGTATTAGCTTTAGAGAAAAATAAAATAATTTTTCTTTATTCTCTTTCTTTATGATCTATCTTTTTGGCACTATCACGGGAAAATATTTAAAATACCCCGAACTTTGAAGGGATGTGAGATAAACACCTCAAACTTTCATATGTAATTTAAATATCCCAAACTTTTTATAAAAAGTTATTTTAACACCATGGTCATGTATTCTATTTCAAAAATGTAAATTGATGGTGTTGAAAGCATAATCTAAAATAGCAAATTGAAAACGTTTCAATTATATAGAGTGAGGAGGTAACACTATTTATTTTACAATGGAAGTTTAGAAAGTTAATTGTATCTTCATCAATGCTAAAATATTTTCAATTATGAAATTTACACAAAAAATTAACATTTTTGAAAGAAATAATACATGACCATGATGTTAAAATAACTTTTTATATAAAGTTTGAGGTATTTAAATTACATATGCAAGTTTGGAGTGCTTATCTCACATCCCTTCAAAGTTTGGGATATTTTATTTATCCACCTCACTATAAAATTGTAAAATTTTGTGTTTAATTATTTTCTTAACTTATTGGGTTAAGATTCTAAACACATAAAAGGTAAGAAGATAAACAGTACCGTTTACTTGTGATCTTACAACAATGTATGGGTAGGGAGAGACCTTTTATTTTCTTTAATTATTTTACTCTCGAATTGAATTACTTAAACACCGTGATGGAGAGTAGATCAAATTTGTAACTTTTTTGTCTTAAATGTAAAACTTATGTATTCTCTTGGTCTAAATTTTCAAAACAAGCTAATGGCAAAGATAATAAATTTCATTTTACCTTTGATTCTTATACTCTAGAAGTTTGCATTATTTATTCTACCTTTTGGAATATTAGTTCTTAAGAATAGCTCATTTGAGATATTTGTTCTTAAGAAATATGCATGTTTACCTTTATACAACTTTTGATATTATGACTCTCAATTCTAAGACATTTTTTATTGGTCAGGTAAGAAATGGATGATTTCCATTTGTGTGTTTCGTATAAACTTAATGACAAATTGACAAGTTAATGATGACGGTAACTCAAAGGTCAACCGTGATAAATAAGGAATGATTAGGTGTTTTTAAGAATTACTTATTTGTAAGAATGCCTCTGCAAATTTACTTTTTATTTACATCCATTTCAATATCAGGACTCTCAATTATGTATGATTGAAGAATATTCTACAATGTAACTGAGTATAAAAAAGAAAGAAGTAATCGGATTGGAGGATCTTATCGTGATTCAAGGAGACCTAAAAGTTATTGTAAGTTTTTTTTCTATTTTTTATAACAACACATTGAATTGGTTGGTTTAGAGATGTAATAAAAAGAAAGAAAAAAAAGAAAAAAAGAACTCATAAAAAATAGAGGTTCTTATCAATGAGTCAAGGGCAACCGTTAGAAATTATGGGTGTTTTACTGCGACATCCAGTTTTTATGCATGGATAGTTGTTTGTTGTACTTTCAAAGGTGAAATTTCGTCATACTTGAAGTTCATGATATGTGATGACATATATAATAAGAAAATAAAATTACAGATGTGTTGTCTACAAGAAAATGTTCAATAATTTATAACGGAGTATTTATTAAAATTATAATGCTTCGTATTTGTTATTATTTACCAGTATTTATTATATAATATTTCCTTCGTCCCAAAATTACCTTTTCATTCAATATTCACATGGTCAACTTAAATTACTCTTAATATTTTGTTTTATATATCAAATTTTAATCAAACTTTAAAAAAAATTATCAGGCTTTGTAACGATTTTAATGTAATTTCTGAATATGTAGTTTTTTTTACTAAAAGTAATCTGAGTGTAAACAGCGATTGAGTTGCTTTATCGTCAGTCGAGTATCGTAATCCGAAATGGGAAGTTAATTTTGGGAACGAGGTAGTATTAAAATTCTTATTTATTTGTTATTTATTTTTGAAAAAAATTTACAATCTAAAAACTCGGCAGAGTCCAAAAAGAGAGTCTTTTTTTTGGAGGAAGTGCATTCTTCAATTTTATTTGAGGTATTTATTTACCTTGGAGTAAAAAAATCTTTAATTGTCAAAATAGGATTAAAGTTTAAAAATCCCCTAAATAGGAGTTATTATTGGTAATTGGACAAAAACACGCTTGAAGCTTGAAAATCATACTGCCGTCGACCAAACGCCGGACCACCGCCAGTCGTCGGTCGCCGCCGGTCACGGGATGTCACCGCCACCTCAAATCGGCCGTCGTTGTAGACTTGACCGCCGCCGTTGTAGATATGGTTGTCACCGCCACAGATCTGACGGCCGCCGTCGCAGATCTGGTCAAATCTAGCCTCTGCTGATCACCACCTGCTGCCCTTGTAGATCCGGCCACTGTCGCAACTAATCCGACATCTGCCACTGAAAATCTGACCTCTATCATTTCAGATCTTGCAGTTGCCAGCACAAATGCCAACATTTTTGTCAAAATGCAACATAAATCGAGGATGTCATCTTAATGACATTTCTGAAGAAAAAACAAAAAAAAAAAATAGAATAAGAATGACATTTTGGTGTCATTTCAGAGTTGAACTTGGGATTTTTTACCAATCAAAGAAGAAATGGAGCATCTGCAACGAAATAGAAAAGGGGAAGAGAGAACAAGAGAAAAGGGGAGGAAGGACGGGGAGAACAATCAAAGAAGAGAACCTGACCTTCAAAGAAGAGAAGTTCTCTGACGGCGATGTCGGCGACGAGCTTCGCGTCAGCGGCGGTGATGACTATGACTGGGAAGTGGCGGCAGACTTCGAAGGTTTGGTTGTTCCTGTGCGAAGGGGGAGGAAAAGAATATGTGTAGGGAAGGGAGAAGAAGCTGTGCGGGAGGGGGGGAGAAGAAGCGCAAGGGGAGAAGAAGATGTGCAAGGCGGAGAAGAAGATTAATGGGTAATGGATAGAATAAACTTAAATGGGTAGAATAAACTTAAGGGCGGAGAAGGCCTAGGGAATGAGGGGAAATGGATAGAATAAACTTAAATGGGTAATTCAGTCCTATTTATGGAGGGAAATATACTTAGTCCTATTTAGAAATTTCAGGAAGAATTTAGTCCCATTTAGGGCAATAAGTCATTTTATTTTCTAAAGGCGAAGATCATTAATATTGCAAGAGGATTAGGAGTCAAAATGTTGGAGAAGTTTGTGGACTCTTAATTGCTTACATTGGAGACAAGGGTTTAGAAATGGAAAACGGGATGGGGTTTAAATATGGATTAAAAAGTATACTTATATTATTGCTAGTATTTCAAATGTTCATGACATTTTTTTATTTTTCTAAAAGTCTCATCACATTTGCTATTTCCCTAGTCTCTATACATTCTTAAATTGAGCTTGTAAAAAATCCGAGTCGAATCGAACCCGAGTCGAGTTTGAATATGACCGAACTCGAGTCGAGTTTTTCCTGAGCGATTCAGCTAAAGCTTGCGAAAGGCTTGACTCGTTTACACCGGCGGTTGTGGTGTAAATGAGTCGTTACCGAGCAAATCGTGGGTCACCGGGGAAAAACGCGAGCCGAGTTCGATCATATTCAAGCATGACTCGAGTTCGGTTTGGTTTGATTTGAATATTTACCAAGCTCAATTCAAGTCTATTAGTTTTAGGCTCGCAACCCGTGGCTAGGGTTGTTAATGAACCGAGCTTTTATCGAATTATTCGAGTTCGAGCCCAGTTTCGAAACTAATGAGCCGACGAGCTTAACGAGCTTTCGAACTCGAACCCGAGCTAAGTAAGTTTGAAAAATTAATCGAGCCGAGCTCGGACATAGTAGTATTCGGCTCGATTCGAGCTCGAGCCTATCGAACGCCCTGAAATTATATATATAATTTATATATGTCAAAATTTTAAATATAATTGGTATGATTTTATGAATTTAAATATGATTATTATTAACGAACTGAATACTTGCCAAATAATTCGAGCACGAGCATCTTAACGGGCATCACCTAAAATTTTAAATTTGGGCATATTTATTGAGCTTATAGAGTGCTCGGTTCAAACATCGAACGCCTATCGAGCCGAACACGAGCCTCGTTTCTAAAGCTCGTCGAGCTTCGAGCTTGAACCTGAACACCCCTATCAGTGGCGGATCTAACATTTGTTTTTAGGGTGTTCAAAATTAGTTTACAATTAATATTTTAAAACAAAATCATTGTTGTGTGCAATAACACTACACAATTAATTTCTGATTTCTGCTAAGCTTCATTTTTGGTAATGCATTGTTTTTTTGTTTTTTGGTGTGTTCAACTGAACACCTTTGAACAAGATGGGATCCGCCACTGACCCCTATTACCGAATCAAACCGAGCTCGAGCTCTAGGTTTCCTTCTTTACGTCTTAAACGAATACAAATGGGTGTGCTTTTGAAGTAATAAAGTATATTCAACAACAATGGCAATATCATTTTTGCTATAGGTACCTCATACTTACCTCATTTCCTACCCCATATATATCCCATTTTTTACCATCCTTTTTACCCCTTTCCAAAAATACCTTTCTCTCACCTCTACCACATCTCCCCACCCACTCCTCAACTTTCCGCCAAAACCCCCTCCTCCTTCGAAATTGCTACTGTGCTCAACCACTCCTCTCACCTTCTTCTTTCTTTCATCTTCTTGGATGGATATCATGGGGAAGGAAGTATCCGAGTTTAGTGGTGAGGTTCTTATGGATGGCTTGACATAGGGAGATGAAGGTGACAAGCTTGATGGTGTGGGTGATGGTGGAAATCCGCCATCTCCGGTCACGGTTGAAGTAGCGACGACTTCAAGGGAAGAAGATGATGAAGGTGTGAACGTTGAAGTCTTGGAGAAGGGTATGTTGTTTTTCTTCATTTGTTTGTATTTTGTTTGGCGGACAGACAATTTGGAACTGCAGTGTCTGTCTAGCCTAAAGTTTGGCATTACAAGGCTTTAAAACATGGAGAATGTCTACAGGTCTTGAAAATGTCGTAATTGTCTGTGATATACACAAGCAGTCTTTTTGGATTTGGCTCTCCTACCTGTCTCTCCCCTCTCATTTTCGCGGTGAGTCCAAGGCAGTCTTTTTTTGACTGATTCAACCCATAGAACCAATTTTCCATGAACGCGGCTTCTTATATTAGCTCTCCAATTCCAGCATTCCGTCAAGAATATTTTGAGGTTGATTTATGATGTTGGAGGCTGGCATACTAGTTGGTAGTGATACTGAATGAGTGAATGTCCCAACCAACCAACGATTTGAGCGTAATGCTGAATCACAGACCTGCCATCATGTTTCTATCAATCTTGGTCTATTTTCTATTGAGCAGCAGTCTTTGCCATTGTCTTCAGAGTGATATTGATTGCCTAAAATCAATAAAGTCCACTTTGGAAGATCCAAAAGGCAACTTGGCTGATTGGGATTTTAGTAACTACACTGAAGGATTCATATGTAGATTTCAAGGGATTAACTGCTGGCATGCTGGAGAAAGCAAGGTTCTCGATATCAACCTTCGTGATATGGGACTCAAGGGAACGTTTCCAGTTGGTCTGAAGGATTGCAAAGCTTTGACAGGCTTGGATCTTTCAAGCAATCAAATCAGTGGGCCTATTCCATCAAACATCTCCAAAATTCTTGATTTTGTGACCAACATTGATCTCTCATTCAACCAATTATCAGGACAGATACCTGAAGACCTTGCAAGATGCTCCTTCCTGCATGCTATTAAGCTAAACAACAACCAGTTTTCTGGTCGAATACCTCCCGAACTCGGTCTGCTCGATCGGGTGATGACATTTAGTGTGGCAAATAACAGTCTGATCGGACCTGTCCCGAGCTTTCGAAACGAACCCACACTTAGCTATGACAATAATGCAGGACTATGTGGTGCCCCATCTCTGCCTCAGTGCAAGGGTGAGGGTGTGTCAAAGATAGCAAAGTCCGGATTCATTGCTGGCGCGGCTGCTGGTGTAATTATATCCTTCGCCATAGCCATGTACTGTTGTTTCCCTAGGAAAAGAAAGAAGATCCCAATGGTAATAGTTGGGCAAGGACAGACCTAGGGGGCTTGAAGTTTAGTATTAGTAGTTGTGATAAATAATATACTTTGTAGCTATTAGATAAGTTAATAATTTTGTCAAAGATGTTGCAGATGTAATTGTTACTCTATATAAGACATTTAAATGACTGCACATTTATGAAGCGGATCGATTTCATGAACTTAGACATGTTGCTGACTCTTACGATACAAGTTTAGGATAATATCCATTGGGTAGTTGATGATAAAAGTATTGTGATTGACGAATATATTGTCACATTTCTTAAAATAAAAGATCGAGATACTTCTGAGACTGTGATCTTGATTAAGAACAAAAAAGGTAAATTTCAAGTTTTGAGAGAAAATGGATTAGAAGATTTTTTGAAAGATGTCAATAATTCTTTTGTTTTCTTTACTCCAGGAGGAGTCTGGGGTTGGGGTTGGGGGGACTTGAGTAATCAGGACTGAAACTCGCTCCATTGAGTTTCAAATCCTTTATGTGCCTAGTGGGTTTCGAACTCGAGACCTCTCACTAGGCATGGTAACCTCGCAACTAGCTGGGCTGGAATGCTTGGTTAATAATAATTCTTTTGTTAATTAAAAACAAAGTTAACTTTCTTAACATGGAAGATATGAATCATCGTTCTAGATGTGCTCATTGTTCAATAATAAATTATCACCACTTTGGAGCTGTTATATCATCATCATAATCATAGTCATTGTTGAGATATATTACCCCGGCCTACCAATATCCAGGAGCCCAAGACATTACTTGGCACGGAGCTTGGTCGGTGAGGCCCGTTCCGTCTTGTTCCGGCCATCCGGTCCACTTTGGCCCAGAAGGCCCACCTTGGCCCGTTGGCCCATGAGGGTGGAGTGCACCTCCTCCCCCTTTGCCTATAAATTGGAGGACTTCCCTCCTTATTAGGGATCTCCTTTCTTCCTCCCTCTCTCTAGCTAGCTTGTATCCTCCATTAATGGGAGCTTCAATATTGTATTATGTAATGGGGATGATAGTATTAATAAAATGAGAGGGCTTGGACCTTAGCCTAAAAAGTCTCTTGGTTTTCTCCCTTTCGGGTTTCCACGTAAAGATCAAGTGTTCATACCAAATTATATCTATATTTATTATATCGTGTTGGATTAAACTCAACGGTCATCATCAGCATCACCATCATTATTATACTTCAGTTTTGGACACAATAATTTTGTGACACGATGTGTAACATTGAACACGATCATAGTTCGGAATTGAAATTCTGACTATTTGTAGTATAAGATTAACTTCAATTCTAACCCAAAAATAGAAATTGTGCAAAGATGATTCAATTATAATTCATATCATGTTTTTTTTATAAAAAATGATTATTTTTCTTTAGAATTGTGTTAATAGATTAAAAACTAGACATATAATACATATATGTACATCGCTTCAAATTGATACTGAATAATCTATTTCTGTTTAAAAAAAAATGTCTAAACACACGGACTAGACAGAATAGATTAGTCTCACACTTGACCCGACCCGACTCCCTCCATGAATTGTTGTAGGTACCAATGATGAATCTCAAGAATGTAGTGTGTGATTCTCCCAGATAAATGTCTGGCCAGCTCTATTGAAGCTATATTTGGAGAATAGTATTGAGTGAGGATTAGTTTTGTTTTATTCTGTACCTCTCTTTTATTTATGGGCATTGGATTTGTTTTGGTCTCTTGCTTATTTTAAGGATGGTTGATCCTATTTTATCGGCATCCCAGTTGTATAAGTTTGTGATGGAACACAAAATCAAGATACTGAATTTTTCGCTAGCTTCTTCTTCTCTTAACACATGTATCTGCGCATAATACAAAACAACAGCATGGTATCAGAGCATCCTTAATTTTATCTGCAATAATGCCGACTGGAGAAGAGCATCGACGTCCAGTGATACTCCACCAAAAATAGATCATGCCTCCCCATATTTTCTGGGGTCACAGGACCGACCAAGTGACTTTATGTAACACCGGACCCGGATTTTACCCAGAGAATTTTTTTTTTCAAGTACATGGTTAAAGGAGGTAAATCAAGACTAAAGTAGTCTTGATAAGTTAGAAAGATAAAATTCTTGTCTTAAATTAATAAAGGATTATTGATCAGACGCGGGACTCATATCGGGAGCGGGGACCACCCGTGGTATTCTTAGCGTATAAAAAATTTATGTTGATCTAAACAATACTATTTTGATAGTAGGAATGGGTCGTGGACCCCAATGATATATAGAATGACAACTAGACGGCCACGTGGGTCAGGGCCACTAATCGATAATTGTGAGCTCTTAATTCTCAGACTATTAATAATTCGGAAAGCTATGAATTAATGACAGAACAAATATAAATATTTTAAGAATCCAAAATAATGGGTTGATAAATATATGATTAAATTGGTACATTAAAGGAGGGTACTTTTGGAGGACCCTACCTTGAAGATATTTTTGTATGAGGACAAACAGATAAGATTTTATCTGCTCATACATTTTGGACCACTTAAAAAGAAGTGTAACATTTTATTAAAGTGTCACAAAATATCAAAACACATATTGAGTCATGAGAAATGAGTAATGAATTTACGAGATGACACGTTCTCATTTTTACTGTTACTTGAACAGTAAATTGCACGTTGAGCCTACACTAGGAGCGGGGACAATCCGATATTTATGGGACCACATGTTATATTCATCTTGGTCTAGATAATATATATTTGATGGTGTAAATTCATGTTGAGCCATAGAATTGGCCGGTTGACCAAATGAGGTCTCATTACCGGTATTGGCAATTTAACAGATAATAGACCGAAATAAATTCCAGGGACCACTAAATTGAAGTGGGATAATATTTATTCATTTTAGAGTCCAATATTAATTGGAAGAATGATTTATATTGTATTTGACTCGATAAAATAAAATATAATTAAAACAGTCCAGAAAATACAACTTTCGGGAACGAATGTACATTTTAGGACACATTGGGATGACCTCCCACATGGGTGGGGGCCACCCCACGTAATTATGCAAGCAAACAGCCGAGAGGAAGGCTGGAGTTTGATGGGGGGATGCATGAGAATTAATTAGGAAGGAAATGGGACCCTCTCCACCTCATTTGGTGTTAAAGGCCAAAAATCCATCTCCTCACGCCCCACACCCTCATTATTTCGGCCAAACCTACCCAAGAGAGAAGGAAGAGCTCTCAAAATACTTACCTCCATAGCCATAATCAATCTCAAGCAAGAAGAGGGCTCAAAGAAGAAGAAGAAGTGGTAAAAGTGGAGAAAACCCTTTATTAATTAAGGTAATGATCACATTAGTATTTTTCTTCCTTCTTTTAATCTCATATGATTTTATAAATCATATGATAGACCCATACTCTTGTACTACACTCCTAGAGGTGTAGAATGAGGGGTTGGAAGAATAGTTTTAACCATGATCGGTGTTATGACCGGAGTAAGACCGGCTCGCCGGAAAACACCTTCCCATAGGGTTTTGATGTTTATACCACTTTTGGTTGTGAAACCTTGTTAGGAATTTTACCAAGGTATTCTAGACTTCTCAAGGAATCTAGGAGTGGCCGGAAAAGTCGCCGGAGCCGCCGGAGTTTTCACCGGAAAATTCCAAAAGTCGCCGGAGTTCAAACGAAGAGGATAAAAGTTTGCTAGCGTCATTTCGAGGTGAGTGGACGACTACGTGTCTTGTAACTCTTGGGTCAAACGTGGGATTACCTAAATAAAATCCTTATCATGATTTGAGAAATGATTAAATGGATTAAAATGCATGATTAGTCATGGTGAATATGAATTATGGAAATATTACATGATTAATGAATAAGAGATTTATTTGTGGATTAATCATGAATGTATTATTGTCAAATGTATGAAAATGCATACATGGACTATGTATGAGATAACTAGAGTAATCTAGTACGTGAATATGTATAGAAATGTTTAAATGTGTTTAAACATGTGATTAGCTATAATGATTATAAGTTATGTGAAAATGGCATGATTAATGAGTAAAAGAATTATTAATATTTTTTATGAAGGATAATCATGAATGATTTAGTTGGACATTAACTAAGGTAATTCAAGATGGTATTCTTGAAGGATTCAAGTACTTAATCATACATGTCATTAAATTAAATCTAGTTATGAAGAAAAAACTAGAACGAAATATATAAACGCTTAATAAGTATGAAGTACTTATTAATAGTTGTGTGAAGACGGCTTTATGCTTTATAACTTTTGAGTGAGACATGAGATTACTTAAAGCAATCAAGAATATATTTTATGGAATGATTAAAGATAATCAAGTATGTGTTATTCCATGATTATATGAAAAATATAGTTGAAAAGCATGTTGAGTAAGCTTGATGATTAAAAATGTGATAATTAATTATGTATGATGTTCCAAGGACCCAAAAGGGCATTTTTGGATTAAGGACGTCAAGAAGTACATGTGTATCAAATTTCACGTAAATCGGACTTTGTTTGGGCGATCAAACGGGCGTTGACCGCCAAGACAAAAGTAATACCCAACCGGGTATTGGTAACTACCCGACCGGGTATTGGTTAAAAATGGTTCCAGGAGCCACTGCCACACTAAACCCGACCGGGTAGGGGTATAGACCCGACCGGGTATTAGTTAAAAACAGTCCCAGGGGCTACTGGCTCACCCTACCCGACCGGGTATGGGTAATACCCGACCGGGTATTGGATTTTACACCCAATATGCAGTTTTTGAGTAAGTTTACGTGGGCCGTTCGAGTGGGACCCGTCCACGTTGGTTGCTAAGGCTTCGAATATGGTTTAAACGCTAAGACTTGGACTAGTCGTTAGTAAAGAAATTATAGACCACGACCGGGTGAGGTAAGTGGTAGATTATACATGACGGGTGAATACTCGGGACCGAGTAAGGTCAGGTAAAACTCTGTAGGACCAGGATGAGTCCTTTATACTCAAATGTTAACAAGGGCCCGTGTAGTCCTTGAGGTGTGTTAACCTCCAGCAAATTACACATAGGTAACAAGGGCAAATGCAGTCCTTGAGATGTGTTAACCTCCATCAAAGTGCATATATGTAACAAGGGCCCGTGTAGTCCTTGAGGTGTGTTAACCTCCAGCAAATTACACATAGGTAACAAGGGCAAATGCAGTCCTTGAGGTGTGTTAACCTCCATCAAATTGCATATAGGTAACAAGGGCCCGTGTAGTCCTTGAGGTGTGTTAACCTCCAGCAAATTACACATAGGTAACAAGAGCAAGTGCAGTCCTTGAAGTGTGTTAA